TTTCTCTGCGAACAGACCTATTATTCCATAGGCCAAATTTGATAAAATAACTTATCTTATCATGACGCATAATCCCGTCAATGGCCTCTGAACTGTCATACTATCCGCCAATGCCAAATGACGCACATGTGCGTCATACATACTAAGCGAATCAATTATTGAACATCTTACAACGTTATTTATTTAAATGATTGTCACTATAATTTTGAAGCTAGCAACAAAGAAAAAAAAGTTTGTTTATTTCCAAAGATTTTAGAAGATTTAATTTTATCCCTTTGTTTTCATTATGTAATATTTGAAATTCATTATTAAAATTATGATTTGATTGTCAGGTGATTTGCATAATTTGAATCTGTTTTCTTTTTATTGAAACTATTGTAATGTTCTTTAATTCTATTACCAAAATTTCTACCTGTTTGTCCTATATATACTTTTGGACAATCTTTACAAGAGAATTTCATACATCTGTCAAAACTGGTGTTCCAACAATTAACTGACATGTTTTGATTGTTGATTTGAACCGATCAGATTGCAATTACGCGATAATTTGCACTAGTGCAAATTATCAGATAATTGCATACTAACTGGTGCAAAAACTGGTGTTTTGACATTTTTTGACAAAAAATTTAAATTTATGATTTATGAAATTCTCTCATTAAATACAACTCGTGCAATGGAAATATATTTATAATTTTCGACAAAATTGCACTTATGCGTTTTTAACTACTAACTACTAAACAACTACTAAACTAAAAATGCATTCCCAAAAATTATCAATAATTCCCATTGCACTAGTTATATTACTATTGATAATTTATAAACTCCAGATTTATTACAAATTTTAGTTTAAGATTTATTATTTTTCAAGTGAAAGCCTATTGTTTCGTTAGTTTTGAAAGACATTTATATCGTTTTTGTTAAGAAATTTGCTAATTTTATTCCTAGCTTGTCCTTGGAAAGTAATACTTTTGAAATTATTATTATTTTGTAATTTTTTAGGGTGATTTTTTAAGTGTGCAACATATGGGGATTTTTTTTAGTAATAGCTCAACCCCAAATACAAACAAGGCCAAAAGTTGGTGCATGTCTGATAATCATATTAGGTGCACTTGGAATGGTTGCAAGTCAAACAGCATACAGGGTAGCTCAAACAATATCAAAGCTGTACTGTAAAGTACCCTTATTTTAGAAAATTAAGCAAAATGTTATAGAGAAAAGTTGTTTGCAATTAAAAGTTATGTCTAAATACCAAAACATAGCCTCCTAAGATTTTTTTTAATTTCTTTCGAAAAAAATCTATAATTACTATATTTTTTAATTTTTTATTTCCGCCCTTAATTCCCCCAAAAATTAATTAAAATCAAATCAATTTCACATAACTTTGTTCAAATTCAAGCATATTTGTAAAATTAACTTAGATTTTTAATTTTTTATGGATTCACAAAATTCTTGTTTGTTACAATGATATTCAACACAACTTTAAAATGTCGCAATTTTCTTTTTCAACAAGTTACAACATTACTAATGATAAAAGCCACAGCTGACCCGGCGAACTTCGTACCGCCTCTGAATTATTAAAAATACCGATTAAATTTTGTGTTAACGTATCTATTAGCTGAATTAAATTCATTTTTTTCGATGGTGAATTTGGCTTTGGTTGAAGAAAATTAATGTTTACTTTCTGGATTAGAAGTCACCTAAAATTAAAATTTTACATCATCCCTTTTTAGGCAGCTTTTGGGCATTATTCTTGTAAATTGTACCACCAAATAAATAAACTCAGGCACAGAAATGTTCAAAGTATGTAAAGAAAACAAAAAAAATCTCCAGCGCAGCTCTGTTTCACTCTATCTGCATTGCACTACTCCATGTGTTCTACTCTATCTGCACTATTCTATCTGATCTACTCTTTCTGAACCACTCTATTTGATCGGAATAGTGGAATAGATCTGTTCGGAATAGTTCCAGTTCCTGAGCAGCATTGTTCTACTGTATCTGCAATGAAATTACCGCGCAACGGCGAGCTTCGTTCTAGGTATCAGAGATGGCGCCGTATACAAAATGGTTTGCAATGAAAATGAAATGGTATCGGTTATAAGAGATGGCGCCGTATGGGGGCTTAGTGATTTTTTTTCATAAATAAGTAAAAGAGGTACTTACCTAGTTTTTTTTTTGTTTTTTTTTTCTGATTTTTCCGATTTACTATATTATTAGGGACAAAGACAAATCCATAAAGCAAAAATCATAAAAATCAGTCCAGCCGTTCTCGAGTTATAAGTGCTAGAACCAACACAACTGTGTTTTATATATATAGATTTGAACAATTCAAGACTCACCGTTTGTATGAATGCACTCAACAATATGTTTGAAAATATAAACACAAAGCAATAATTGACCTTTTGTTTGGACGCCATATTGCGGTGCGCGAACATAGTTGGCAAAAGTTGAAAAAAAAATTTACTAGCGTACTGTCAACATTAAAAACAAAAGTTACTGAATAAATTACATTTAAAATTCAAATTTGCCGCCTATTACGAATGTTTTTGAAAAGAAAAGCCATCAATTTTAGCTTGTATTAGGCAGAATAGAAATAATAAGGATAGCGAGGATCAATCATTTAGTTACTTTTGTTTTTAATGTTGACAGCCTGCTAGTAATTTTTGTTTTCTTCTTTTGGCAACTATGTGAAATGACCGCATTAATGACATAACAACATGCTGGTACTGTCAACGCTGAAAAAGTTTCAATTTGACAGCAAAATCCCCATTAACAAAATGATCCTCCATTTATTTACAAAAAATGTGATAAGTGAAGAACCCCTCGACCGATTTTGTGCGAACTTCACAAAAACCATCTAATAAATAGTCCGAACAAAGCCTAAACATTTGGTTTGGCTAGGTGAGCCAGTTCTTGAGTTATAAAATTACAACGAAAAGTGGCATTCATTTTTATATATATAGATTAGTAGAATTTTGATATTTTTGAGCCACCCTGTATGCTGTTTGACTTGCAACCATTCTAAGTGCACCTAGTATGATTATCAGATATGCACCAACTTTTGGCCTTGTTTGTATTTTGATTGTGCTAATACTAAAAAAAAATCCCATATGTTGCACACTTAAGTAATGACACTGTACAGGGTGTATATTTTAAGTGATACCACTATTGCTATATCCAAAACGGTAAGAGCTACAAGGTCGGTTAAATTAGGAAAAAGTTGCCTTTTTTGATGCCCATTTAAGAATTGTTTACAGTGTTGCCAAATTCTTTTTAGTTTATGAAATACAGGGTGATTTCTAAGAAACGTCCAAAACTATTTCATCAATTATTTCGAAAACTATTGATTTTCGAGACACAATTTAAATTTGAAAGTTTTTTAATTTTTCTCGCTCTACAACATGGTGCCATCAAATTCCAAATTCGATGTTTCGTAATCGAGCTACCATCATCAACTTCATTTTTTTAAATACGGACCTGGATTTTTTATGTCATTTTTAGAAAGTGCCTTTTATTCCCTTTGTAAAAATGACATAAAAAGACCACGTCCGTATTAAAAAAAATTAAGTTGATAATGGAAGCTCGATCACGAAACGTCGGATTTAAAATTTGAAGATGTCACGTTGTAGAGCGAAAAAAATTATAAAACTGTCAAATTTAAATTGTGTCTCGAATATCAATAGTTTTTGAAATAGTTGATGAAAGAGTTTTTGGCGTTTTCAAGAAATCACCCTGTATTTCATAAACTCAAAGGAATTTGACAACACTGTAAACAAGTTTTGAATGGGCATCAAAAAAGGCAACTTTTCTCTAATTTAACCGACCTTGTAGCTCTTACCGTTTCGGATATAGTAATAGTGGTATCACTTAAAATATACACCTTGTATATACAAGGACAAGCTAGTGATAAAATTAGCAAATTTCTTAACAAAAACGATATAAATGTTGCTTTCAAAACTAACAATACAATAGGCTTTCACTTAAAAAATAATAAATCTAAAACTAAAATTTGTAATAAATCTGGAGTTTATAAATTATCTTGTAAAGATTGTCTAAAAGTTTACAGGGTCCCAACTATCTATGTCTGATTGATTCTAATACCTACTACCTAGTTATAGGTGTCCTTAGAACAAGAAGAGAGCGGGCGATTACAATTATTCAGCGAAAGACGTAAAATACTGTTCCTATAACCGTGCGGAAAAATCGATTTTACGCACTGATATGCGTGCGGAAAATGAGTTTTCCCGCACGGTGCGGTAACACTTTTACCGCACGCATATCAGTGCGGAAAAAGTTTTTCCGCACGGCTGTGAGTGCGGAATAGTTATTTACCTAACAAATGCGGAAAGTGATAATTTACCGCACGCAACAAGCCGTTAAGGGCGGTAAAGGCACTTTCCGCATGTGTTAGGTACAAAATTTTACCTATGAGCATCTACATCTCCAAAAAAAGGCATTTATAAAATTAATTAATGAATCAGATTAATTAATGAAATTAGATAAGATTTAGAAATGATCAAAAATCCATTTTCTGAAAAAGAGAGGATTTTTGATTATAAATATCAAATTCTACTTTACCGCACACTATGCGGTAAAGTGCACTTTACCGCACACTTTGATTCTACTTTACCGCATACTATGCTGTAAAGTTAACTTTACCGCACAGTATGCGGTAAAGTGCACTTTACCGCATAGTGTGCGGTAAAGTACACTCGGCTGCTTCACCGAACTCCGCTACGCGTCGTTCGGTGAACGGCAGCCGCGTGGGGAAAAATTAATTTTCCGCACTTGTTAGGTAAATAGCTAATAATTTTTGTAGCAAATCGTGATCAGTATGCAAATCTGACACATTATCGCAAGTTTAAAACTCAACTTAGACACTCAAGTCCCATGTAAGACAATGATAAATCATCTTTCTAATAAACAAATTTTCTATATAAATAAATATACCTACCTAAAATAATTAGTAGAGTAGATCTACTACATAAATTGTAAGATAGGTACTCGAAAGCATTTCTACAGGCTAATCCCTGGGCATGGTACATTATAACTGATATAAATTAAAATTTCCCTTTTTTTGACGGTTTACTGATGGGTTTAAATTGAAGCGTAGACTTCACTCTTAGAGCAGGAAGCTTGACAGTGCTAGCATTCGCACTCCTAAGCAGATCTTCCAAGTATTCTGTTTCATGAATTTGTTTTGGAGCAGTAACTTCTTTAATTTTTGGTGTAGGAACTTTTGATTTTTCCAAAATTTCTGATAGAAGAGCAATGGTTGGCGTTTCCAAATCTGTTTCTTGAGTGGAAATTAATGATTGTGGTTGCGGTACATCCGCTTCATTTGTATTGGACTTCTCCCTGATAACTTCATTAGCTGTGTCAGATAACTGTTTTTCTGCTAATGATGAGTGTTTACTTTGTGAACTAGACTTTACCGTTGTGTTTGCTTTTTCCAAGATTTCATCAAACTATAAAATATATTATTATTCAAATGCTCGATAATGTGTACAAATAATTATTATAGCTCACTAGTTTGCAAGATATATCAGCTGTAACTAAGCACGTGCAAGGATGACCAAGACAGGCGCAACATTTAGGTTCAAAACCATGAACTGATCTGTTATCACTTGATATTGATGGGGTTTTTTCATGTCCCCCTTCCTCTTTTTCTTCTGTATCCTCTTCAAGTTTTGCTGAGGTCATCTATATACGAAAATTACAAAATGTGTTAGTGCCAGGTTTGATTGTATGTATTACTTATATTTATTTTTCACCTCAGTTTGTTGTACTTTCGGTTGGAGAGGCACAGCTTCGGCTGCCCATGAATCTTTCGGGGACGATTCTATTGGCTCATCAGGAATCCATAGGGATTGATTTACATCAGGAACTTCCGGGTGATAATAAAATTCAAATGAAAGATATTTTATCATGGCGTCGTAGGCACACTGTACGATAAACTTGACACCCTGGTTTTTCAGGTAATTTTTAAAACATTCTTCGAAAACATTTTCCATTAGCTCGTCTCTAATTGATAATACAATCATGTAATCCTCTTCGTCTTTATGAATCCTTTGCAGGAAGGCTTCGATAGATTCGTCTGACATTATCACGAATAACTATTTTTATGGCTTTATTATTAGCAAGCCTTACGAACAACAGGTATATTTTTACAGATAAATAGCCAATACTTTATCCATTATTTATTTTTTAAAAATTTCAAATTTTTAATGCATACACACACGTCAATTTGATTCGTTTTTGAAAGTAATGACATCCATCTATTCTAAAGTTTGTTTCACGACGGTTTGTACTTTCGACATGAACGATGTGAACTATGTCATAACTTGGATTTTTTTAAAATTTCGTCATAAATTGGATTTTTTTCTTATATTTACGTAATGCTTTCGACACAATCAATGTTTTTAACTTTAACCGAATTTTCGTGATGAATGTAGTTCATCCAAGGACGAACCTAGTTTGTCTGTGACCTCATGAGTTTGAACGCTGGCTAGAAGCTGCGTCCATGCTTCCGCGAACTACGTTTAATATGACGTCATGAATTTCTCGCAAAAGCGTTTGTGTTCATGAAATCATGGAAGTGGTTCCTCGCGAAAATTCGGTTTTTATTGAATGACTTCTGGTTAGAACCGACGAACGTTTTTGACGTCATTAATTTCTTTCGTCAATTTTTATTTGTTAAAAAAGGAAGGCAAATGATGTCAAAAGTACAAACGCCACTGGTGCTGTCGCTCAGGCTCTAATCAATAGAATCATACCTCTGAATAATTACGCCTCTCCACACCCATCATTTCGCAATGGCCAATGTTGCGGATTTTTATCTATTTTAAAATACTACACATGCCCATGTTGCAAAAAAAATATGTCACCAACTTGTTTAATATTATCGTTTTTGTCAAGTTTGGTAAAACAGCAAATTCTATTGCAGTTCGCCGTTTGGCTAGCCAGACTATACATGTCTATGCCTTTACCTCAAAACGAAAACCTTTATTCTTCTTCCTCTTCTTGTTGATTGTTAGCTTCTGCTCCCCTAGGGGCAATTTGCCAGCTCATTTGTGCATACTCGAGAGTGATATAGGTTTTTTACGTTATATTTAGGATGACGTCATAGAACAAAAAGAGACAATGTTGTCAATGCCTATTTTTTTTCTTATAATTTATCAGAATGTCACGTGACAGTAGACCTATCTATTTTACCAAACAAAGAGGTAGTCATACGAAAACTTCATTAGATAAAAAAAGACACAGAACGCTCATTGCGCAAGACTAGGCAAAATGTACCAAATTTTGTTAAACTTACGTATGGCACCGTCCTCCTTATTTGCACGGAATAAAAAGAGAAGAAGAAAAACCGCGTGTTGTGCAACGTAAAATCTGTTTTTCTTTTAAAGATAAAAGTCAAAATGACATTATGTTGGCAATACAATGTAAAATTGTTTTCAAATTTTTTATGTAGAAAAGGCTTGTGTTGCCAACATAGTTACTAAATTTTTGACTTGGGGAATTATCTTTAAAAAAAAAACAGACTTTATTTATGAATGAAAATTTCAAACTACTATTGAGTGTCACTTGTCAAGTTGAATATCAACCGTACTTTTATTTTTGTCAGACCACGAGCAATGAACAAGGACAAGGAAATGCCCAGCGTGCAAAACGAATACTTCACACCTGTACTAGTTAGCTAATAAAAAGACTTGCCTCATGTTGCGCGCGCATACCAGGTAAAAATAGAGAGGTCTTTTCTGTCAAACGAAACGGAAAATAGGTAATTTACTTATGTTTTTGACTGTACTAGGAGGACTGTAAATTTTATTTAAAAACTGGGCATGATTTAGAGAAAAGTGCAATAAAATGGAAACAATGATTATAATGGTTGCTGAAAGTTACAATAAAGATTAATAATAAGATTTTACTAGACAAACTGATCAAATTCTGTAACTTTTTTTTGATTAATTAATTGATTGATTGTCACATTCAAAAATAATTGTCACTGGTCTTCATCAATATTCTTTTTTTTTTTTACCTGCACATGGCTAACCACTATTAACCACTTATAACAAAATTATAGAATCTTCATTTAGCTTCGTCGGGCGTTAACAACTTACATGCCTCACAGCAGTAAGAAGCAAAAATGGCCGCGTTCCTGCTGGAAATACGTTATTAAGTATACTACCCTTTCCTGAGGCTTATTCCGACAAACCTGCTGCATTTTCTGAGTAAGTTTACGCTACGAAGTTCTTGAAAGAACTTTTTTCTATTTTGGTGTCATATCGAAGTCTTTTCGACACTAAAAGTAGTTTCGAAAAGAAGCTCTTTGTGACACTCCTTTTTTACTTATCGGACGTTGGTTACACTGGCTGACTGATGGCCATCGAACTGTCGCGATTTTATAATAGAAGATTTCTATATTTGGCATGCAGTGTTACCAACCTAAACATATGAAATCAGGAAATATGAGAATAAAATTTCCAAGAAAAATGTGTTTTTTTTTAATTAAACAATACCAAAATAGAAAAAATAGTATAAAATATTCGTTTCATAAGACATTTTTTCTACTGACATTTCATAATACGCTATTAAACGATTAAAATCTGTATCATAATGAACTTCATTACGATACAGATTTTCATTATAATACTCATTTTTAATATTATACAATGTTGATAGATGGCAGCCCTAGTTAAGATATTAAACATTTTAAACGGTAATTTTGCATAAAAGAATTATTTTGATAACTATAAGAAACACTTCGAATTATTTAAAAGTTACCTAAAGTTTGGGACAAAGAATAATTATTATGGAAATAATGAATGATAAGGAAGAATTTTTACTTCTTTAATTATTATACATTGTCAATAGATGGCGCCATCAGTTAAAAAAAAGATTTTTTTTTTTGAATGTTGGCGCACTCTGTTTATAGCTTTTCCATGGTAATTTAGCGAAAAACAATAATTTTATAAACAAAAATACCTCCAATTGTTATTAAAAGTTAATACCTTAAGTTTGGGAGAAGGCATTATTATGGAAATATTGAGCGATAACGAAGAATTTTCACTAACACCTCCAGAAATTACAGAAAGGACGACAAATGCAGGTAATAATATACTACCGGACAAGTCCAAGAAAATTTACGGAAAATTATATGGACAATTTATGGATTGGAAACATCAAAAACACATCGTCCTTCTCAGAAAATGTTTTGATAGTATATTTTGAAGAATTACAACAAAAAATTAAACCTTCAACTGTATGGATTACTCAATTATGAAATCTCTATTCAAAGTTAAGCATAATGTTGATCTCGATGTTGACATATCTAAATATCATAAGTTTTATCAATCGCAGTAGAAAAAATAGTGTATGCAACTCTCATGTAAGGGCCATTAATACACTCGCATGTTATATACGAAACTCGCCTACGGCTCGTTTCGTATCCTACAACATGCTCGTGTATTAATGGCTATCATTACATGATCATTGCATAATATACTATTATCGCACGTGACGTCATCCTAAATATAGCGTAAAAAGCCTATACAGGGTGGGCCACTGAAAACTTACAATGGCTATAATTTTTGAACCAAAAAAGATATCAAAAAAATAAAAAATACGGTTTTTATAAAATCAAGGCGGAATACACATGACATATTTTCTAAACCACCCCGACCTACCCCTTAGGCGCCACCCCTACTCGCTTCAAAATCTTTAATGGCAACACCCCACTTGTGGCACCTTTTTGGAAAGCTCATAAAAAATGCTAAACGACGGTCATAAAATGTTTAGGGTGACATTGGAAAACTACCCGTCAAATGAAAAAAATTGGTAGAACTAAATTTTACAAAAAAAAAGAATTTTTAGCATGAAATGAGAGATAGGAAATTGAAGCGACCCAGCTAAATTCAAATGACGTATTTTTCAAATCACTGCGACCCACCCCTAGGCGCCACCCCCACTCATTTCAAACTCTAAGATTGCGGTACCCTACTTGTGGCACCTCTATGGAAAGCTAATTGAAAATGCTAAACGATGGTCACAAGGATTTCAACCTAAATTAAATTACGGCTAAGTAGTGATTAAGAAATGTAGGTGTGACATTTTGAAAAATAGGAACCAAATTAAAAATGATCTAGATAATTTATTTTAACATTTTCCACCAATCCACAAATAAGAAGCTGCGGTAACGCAAATTCTTCCTTATCAGCTATTTGTTTACTTTTCTATAGCAACCCGACCCACAGCAACAAAAAAAAAAAACAAAATGCTTTACTTACTGTCTTCTATCATTTTTCAAATCATTATTTTGCAAATTTAGTGACGATAGTTTCTACCTTTATTTAATTTACTTACTTAAAACTTCGAAATAGTATATTATATACCAAGGTAGAGAAGTTGGTCATTATATACCGAGCGCTTTTATATATATTATAATGCGTAAGGTATATAATTACTTTCTCTACCGAGGAATATATAGAATTTTTTTTACTACTGTTAGTAGAAAATAGAAAATTTGTTTAAATCCATGCTCCAATTATTTTTTTTGAACGTCCTCTTGAAAGTGCTGCCCTCTATCAACAGCTTATGATAACTTCCTATGTACCTACAGAAACCTGTATTTTTTTTAAATTGACGTCTGAAATTGAAATTGAACCAATAGAAACATGACAATATCCTTGCGTGATGACGTCATTTTCATTATTGACCTAGGTATTTTTTCATTATTTTCATTATTCACCTAGGGAGAGAAATTCAATTTTTTCCTAGAAAAATAGATTGAATAATGACGATTTCCCAGATTAGTAGTAAAAAAAATGGTTTATAGTGTGGAAGAAAGAATTGAAATAGTTTTTCTTTATGGTGCTTAAGGTAGGTGCTATTTGAGAACAGCCCGTGCTTTCAATGAGAGAAATCCGGACAGAAACGTTAGTCACATTTATGTTAGGGATTTGATCCAAAAGTTTCAACGAACGGGATCGGTCAAAAATCAAAAAAGGGTAGGGCCCAGGGTACTGTCATATTCCTCCATAATATCATGACATTGTACCTTTTACGACCCTCGAATACTTTCCCAAATAATGTCTCGCCGTCGCCGAAAGAAATATTATTATATGACCCAGACTTTCTGTTAAAGAACCCAAAGATATTGTATGTAAATAAATTAAACATTTGTCCACCATAAACCCCAAAATTCCCAAATATCCTTAATGGTCATTCTTTGGGCGAACAGACTG